ATTGACATTCACCTCCAGCCAGCAGTCACTGGGGAATTTTCAGTCCTGCAAAGAATAAAGAGTTTTTGAAGGACACCTCTAATTACAAGGCTTTAACCATTCTCTTTCCCTTACACTTGACTCTACAATAAAGTGGATCGATCTTATCCAGGTCATCAATATGACTTTCAAAACAAAACTGGTATTGTAGAGAAGGGATGGGAAAAGAGAATGAGATATAAGGGGAGAGAAAGAAAGACATGTTTTACAAATAAATCAAATATAACACTGAGCCATATTCTAGGCTGCATCTGCAGTAAACCCAACTCCATGAGGCAAGCAATTTGTGCTAAACTCCAGAATAAATCTGATTTGATCAAAGCTGCCAATTCAAAAAGTGCATTTTTGTTGACAGCTGGATATTTGTAAATAGTCAGCATGACACAACAACCACTGATACTGCTAAAGTTCACTATTACTATGCCTGAGGATACTGATATTATCTATTGTAGAGATTACCAACTGTTAACTATTATGCATTTTTCCAAAAGCTGGGGCATATGTTCATCAAATCTATCATGAAACAGAAATCATCATACAAGTGTGAAGGAAAATGAAATCTTCTACAGAGAGACATCCCAAAACTTAAGGGAATAATCTTCTCTGTATGTAATATTAATAACAACAAAAAACAAAAACAAAACCAACATCATCCTACCTAAATGGCACCTCAGCCTTAGATTAGTGGGGCCATAATGAGGCTCAATATGTGAGTCTGGATACAGCACTGAGAAGCAGGCATTGCCAAACACACAATCCTGCATGACTGATGGCAATGAACCGATCATAGTTGACGTGTTGGGACATCTCTTGCAGTTTGACTCATTGACGACACCTTGGTCAATGAAGGGGAAGATGCACCAATGACCACGAGGGATATCGTTCAGTTTCCAGCCCCAGTTGTCGCCTCCCTTCAGAGCCTCAAAGACAGACTCAAATTCCTTCAAGATAATGCTGAAATTGAGCTTCAGGAGTCTCAGTTCCATCCCATACACATCAAACTCATTCCAGTAAGGGTTGGCTGGTAAATCCACAGAGAATATGGTAGGCTTCTGGAAGGCTGATCGGAGTGATTTCTCTTTCTGCGAGGCTCTTGTCCTGTCTTCTCCCAACTTCTCGGCAGATGGAGCCAACCGCCTCACCACCGTCTGCACAGCATCACGTACTCTAAGTGATGTGGACTCCTGAGTCTTGGAGTCTAATGCTCTCCATTTCTCTGCAATTTGCTGTTCTAGCTCCTTGTATTTACAGCAACGGACACAGCTGGAGTTCCTGCATGACTGTGACTCCGAGTGGTCTGGGGTCGGAAACAGGTAGAACACTTTCCTCAGGATCTCCAAGACGGCGATTTTCAAAGGCACTTTATTCTCCTTTTTGTAAAAGATAACAAGAATCAGAGCAGCAAATATCATGCCCAGCGCCATAGAGGGCACGAGGGGCAGGGCGGGATCGGGAAGTCCACCCAGGAAGGCGGAACAGCATTCTCGCATGCCCATGGCGACTACTTGGCAATTGCAGCAATTTAACACTAGCTAAATGGCCCTCGACGAGGACGAGCAGACCATCAGCCTCTTGAATCACCAATAAAATCGTTACACTTGACAGCTACATGTTTTCGTCTGCTCCTGTGCCTGAATGGCTTCCGATGCGGCTGTTAGTTGACTTGAGTGCCATTAAAAGTGTAAAGGATCTCTGGATAAGGAATCCAATAGCCTTCCGGTTTCGTGGCGCTTATAGTGTAAACAAATGGAGATTAGGGAAGGCGGGTCTAAAATTATTTAGATTACTTTTACAAAATCACAAATGTATGGATATTAGGTACTTAATGCGTTATTTAGGTATTTAGCATTAATCAACTAATATTTTTTTACGGCTTTAATGAACACACTTAAAACATATTTATATAATCGTATAGGAAAAAAAAAAATAAGCCACTAAGATTAAAGCAGCAAAGGGTAAAGTCATTATTTTTTTCATATTAATACTATAAGAAATACAATAATGAATAAAACGAAATAAAGAATTTAGCCCCGCAGTCGCCGGCATGCCACAGAAGATAAACAAATAATCTTGAACGTCTCCGCCTGTCTCCAGAAGGAACCTCTCGAAATACCTCGAAAAAAACGAAGAAATGGTGAAACAAGTGTTGTAATTGGTGAAGAGAAGAAAACTGCAACATAATCGGACCAATCGTGTGAGGCGCCATGTCGAATAAGGTGAAAATAGTGATGGTTGGGCCACCCGAGGTAGAGTCGAATTCTGTTTCGTATTTTTCTTCTATATTTAATCAGCAGCTTTCATAGTTTTATTACGCTATGCCAGGGAGGTGGTAGCAGAGTTGGGCAATAACATATACTTTAGGTAATAGAACAGTATCTAACAAAAAAAACTTTTCTGTGGAAATATTTGTGCAAAACCCTCCCTGAGGTGTCATGACCCAAAATTCTGTCAGAAAAATGAAGGCAACGAAATATAATTTTTCCATGTGTGATCAACATTGGCATTACACAAAAAATGTCCTTTGCACAATGAATAATACCCAAATTTGCATTAGTAGATTTTTTTTTTTTTTTGTAAAATATCAAATTAATTTCAAAAGCGAACTTCTACCCCTTTATTCGTGTAGATTATTTAAAAAATTCATCAATTCTGGCTATGTGTGGATGCTTCATGATGTCATGGTTTTAGCGACTATACTGGACCCTGTAGGTGGGTAGGGCATAAGGTATCCTGGGAATAAGGGAGGTCAGATTATGTGGTATTTATGCATTTATGGCTGTGCTGTGCCCTCATAACTCCTTATATGGGATTTTAGAGTGCAGCCTAATTGTTGAGTCTATTTAGTGAGTGATGGCATTGCTCGGGTGAGGTGGAGGCTCTGTGAGGTAAATTTCTTGTGCCACATTCTCAGTCTAGGTGTGTTGAGTACACTGTAAAATCAGCCAATTTTGGAGTTTCTGAACAATGTGATTCTAATGGGCATCAATGGATTAGGAAGGAAAATTTTGTAGAAAGGTTTTGACCTATTATCTATAATACATTTACTTTAATTTCATGTTTTTAAACCCAAACAGCTAACTTATGTTGTTCACTCTACAGAATTTCTGCAAGTAAAAGAAAGAAGAGAATAATTAATAAATATTTCAAACCTTCAGTTTCTGCAGAATGATTTCTGTAACTAATAGTGTTGTTGTATCTGATCATTAACCCAATGGCGCCGGGTGTACAACACAAAAAAAAAACTCTACGCTCTAACAAACAAAGGCGGCGCGCCAACTTTGAGCGCGTGAGTAGGGGACATCAGCATGAATCACTGGCTCGTCGCGCCGCCGCGGTGTACAGCCACACGCCAGCTTTCGAGTGGTTTGTTTTCATGCCGATCGGCGTCACCCGGCGTTAAGGGGTTAAGGGCATTATCTCATTTTTTTCACTCTTTTTATGGTCCATGTTTCACATCCACCCTCACTGTCTCTTCCTCTCATTTTCTCTCTCCCTCCCTCCCTTTCTTCAGAGGTTGTTAAAACAAATTATATACAATTGGGAAAAAAGTATTAACATTTTGTGACTAACTAAAAACTTAGATGTCCATCAATTGTTTTTTATTCTCCTTTTCAGTGTGGGAAAACAACACTCACAAACTTTCTAAGTGAGGCTGGAGAAGTGGGAAGTGGAGAGTACAGACCCACCAAAGGCTGTAGGATTCTGGAATTTGAAGTGCCCAATATAAACTACAACAACACTGCAGCCAGTGTTGAGGTTGAGCTGTGGGATGTCAGTGGTGATAGGACGTAAGAATGGGTTTTTTCTTGTTATGTGTTATGTGTATTTATACTCCTGATTTCTTATTCTAAATGTTCTCACTTTTAGCAAGTGGTCTGCTGATCAGAGTTATAAAGCAGTAAAAAAAATTAATAATTCTAGTTAGTTGGCTCTATATATGTTTTGTTTCATATTTTGTTGTACTTATTTTTAGTCTTATTTGTAAGAAAAAAATATTTTCCGATGATTTTTTATAATATCTGTGATAATACTTGCTTCAGTGTGTGCTGGAAAATTTATTAGTGTAGCAGATGTGAATATAATCATTTATAACCTGTCTTTTACATATAAAATGAAGTGAGTGACTAATGTATATCAGAATTTGCTAGAACATACAGGAAATGACTGCCCAGTAAACACATTGCCAACATTTTAAGAGCCCTCATTTCAATTTCTTTCTTGCCTTAGCTATGAGACTTGTTGGCCTGTCATTCAGCAAGGAGCACAGGGCATTATCTTTGTGTACAGCCCAGGGCGAGAGGAACACGCAAGGGTCCTTGATAACTTGTACACGCACTTTGCTGAACAACAGGGCATAAGTGAAGCTCAGTGCGTTGTGTTCTGCCACTACAAACCAGGAGCCAAGGGGAAAGGGGCAAAACTTTGTGAGTGATCAGCATTTTGTTTTTGTTAGTCTCTTTCTAATAGAAAAATCTGTTGTGATATTCTGTTTTTGTAGGTAGGAATAATATTTATTTATTTATTTTTTTTGATGTGTCTTAATGTGGTAGGGATGATACATATACTCATCATTGAGTTTTGGTCAGTATAGACCATTCTTTTTATTGTCCACTATCTACTTGGGACCTAGTCAGCCTAACTTTTAAACTATATCACAATAGTTTCTTTTCTTTAGATTTGTATTATATGATTTTGATTTGATATAGACGATAGATAATCCAAATCATGTTATTGATCTATCATGTGAAAAGTTCTGCTGTATTTAATCAACTTCAAATTTTTATTTGATAATTGATTTGATTTCTTTCATCAGGTCAAACTTTGTATACATTGTTGTCTCACTGCTATTAAATTCATACGTAAACTTCTACTTTTATATATCTAATCTTTATTGTTTGGAGAGGAAGGACGTCTCCTTTTTTTGTTTTTTTTTCTGATTCAGATGATGATAATAATTTTGATAGTACAAAACTCCCATTTCTATTTCAGCAACTCCCTTCAACAAGATCTCCAAAATGGACACGCACTTGGATGACGATAGTGGAAGTGTGAAGAGGGATTTTAATGACTTCATTGCATCTGTCATGAGTCACATGTCTGATGTTGTTGAGCGTCAAGAGAACTTTATATTGCAGTGAACCTAAATGAATTCATGCAATGATATAAAAATGTTATTAGCTCACATGAACTTATCAACATGGAGTGGGCTCACACTCAAGCATAGACATAAATTTACACATGAAGATATACACATGTCTTGTGTGCACTGACACTTTTTTTGTGATACCCTTGCTGTTATTCATGTATTTGCAAAAAAGATTAAATCAGTGATGTTTCTGTACACTTAATACCTTCTAGTCACTTAATATATATTTATGCCGTCCATAATAAAGTATATATTAAGAATCTTATTTTTATATCTGTATGATACCTGCAAGTTGAATTATAATTGTTTAGAATAGAAATATGTTCTAACAATTATAATTCAAGATTAATAGGAAAGATTGAAAATTTATCCATAATTGATCTGAAATGAAGGCATGAATTTACAGAAATCTCAAATGAGGGGAACTTCAAGTTACCTAAGTACTGCAGCTCATGCTACAGTTTACATAACCTTGACTTTTTAAACTGCAACTATCCTGATTTTAGTTTATAGAAAGAGAGCTGACCTAACTCTAAATGGGTGGCTTGGGGGAGTTGTGCCTTACCAGGCCTCCTCCCCCCAGATAACTCACCAGCAGCACCTTCCATAAATGGATGTGCTGGGGTAAGGGGTGTTGTTCTTCCCACCCAGCAGGCAAGGTGGGCTGTGGGATCCATTGGGAGGGAAAATTTTGGGGCACAGGATGGGAACGAGAGTTAATCATCCTGCCTGCGGCCTGGCAGGTGCCAACCCAGTATGAGGCCTGTGGGGCAAAGCCCAAGGGAACCCTGCCTTGGTCCTCAGCCCTCGCCTCAACTAATTTTGCATAGTCTTTTCTTTTCCCCCTTTCCTTTCCTTCTCTTCTTCATCATCCCCTTCTGTCCACTTCCTAAGGTGTGAGATCTGTGCTGAAAGGATGAAGGGCTGGCTTTGTGTCAATCATGAACGGCCTCTAGGAGCCATGGGCACAGTATTAATTGTTTAGCCCTTACCTCTCAGGGAACCTGAGGGGTAGATCGTTTCCTCTCCTCATTTATTTCAGGCTCAGCATGGCCAATAATGAAGATGAGAGATTTACATATAAAGTTTTCAAGAAGCGATCTCAAGGGAGAGAGATTTGGCGCGCTTCTGCTGCCCCTCCTGCCCCCTCCTGCCCCCTCCCTACCCCTTTCCTTCCCTTCCTCCCTCCCCTTTTCCTTCCCTACATCCCTGGTCACCCCCAGGGATGAAGGCCGGGTCCTTCTCTCCCCACCCATGTAGTCTCTCCCCATCTCTCTCTCTTGCCTCTCCACCTTTCTCCCATCCTCCTTGCTGCCCCTACCTCCCCACCCTTCGCACACCCTCTCCTCCCCTTCTCCCCCCAGCACCTCTCACCCTCTCTCCCCCACCTCCCCTCCCTCCCCACCTCCCCCCTCCCCTCCCCTCCTCCTCCCCGCCTGCACCTCTCACCCTCTCTCCCTCCCTCCCTCCTCCCCTCCCCTCCCCCCCAATCCCTTGCCCGTTGTTGTCGTGGGGGGGCTTAGGAGGCGGAGACTGGGACCCAATGATGGGGAACTCCCCAACCTTGGGACTCAGCCCTCGACTCAACTAATTATGCATGGTCTTTTTTTTCCCTTCCCACTTTTGTTTCTGTCCCTTCACCAAACCCTTCTGCTATGCACCTCCTAAGGTGTGATAGCCGTGCTGAAAGGATGAAAGGCTGACTTTGTGCCAGTCCTGAATGGCCTAAGGGAGCCATGGGCACGGTATTCCCCTGATTTAGTTATCTAGCCCTTACCCCTCAAGGGGACCCTGAGGGGTGGACTGTTTTTATCCCCAACATAATCCAGGCTTGCCATGGCCAGTAATGAAAATATATCCCCACTGTTAGGGGCAATGAGGCTTGCCCCTTTATCAAATAGCCCCAACGAAGTAAACCCACCCGATTCCCCGACCCCAGGCTCTCCTTTGACCACGGCTCCGAACACTGCAATAACTACCCCTTCACCAATGCCTACTAGTACAGTAGCCAACAATCAACCCTCAAGGAACATTTCCACTCTCCCAGCATGCCCAACTTCAACACCTCTACCCCCACAACCTCCAACATCAACCACCCCATCCTCCCTTATTAATACCTTACAGCCTTATAGCCCACCTCTCCATAACACTACCTCCATCAACACTACTCCATCTTCGTCACGCCCTCGCCCTTCTACCACCCCTATCTCTAAAACAATCTTGAATACTCTCTTCAGTGCAGCCAAATGGGACCGATTTTTCGTGATCCCTCCCACAGCTCCCTACTCTGACAACACCCTTCTCTTCCAACAATGCCTCCAAAAACAAGTAGGTAAAGTCTCTTTCCGTAGCCGACCCGACCGCTCCCGTCTTGTCACAGTAACAGTCCGAAAACCAAGCTATAGCATTAACAAAACTAACTGACCTATATGGTAACCCCATCCTAGCAGAACCCCATCCAACCCTCAATACTTGCACCGGAACAGTCTCAATCTCACCAGCAAATTGCCCAATCTATGACAAAGATTGGTCAGATTGTGGAGAAGATCTACTTGCCTGTCTCACAGACTACGATGCAACATCAGTACAATGCTACTCCATCCCCCCCAGAGGTCATCGAAAGAAATCCACTAACATAGCCAAAATTACCTTTCCGTAGACATGACCTTCCCTTTAACGTCTACATAGGAGGAGAATCCCTCCCTGTTCGTCCATACCAACCTCCTCCACGTCAGTGCCAAAATTGTTGGCGTCTAGGACACCCAGCCAAACATTGCCGTTCCACAGCCATTATGTGCCCAACCTGGCCATACCCGATCTAACTGCTCTGCACAATCACGCACATGTGCCAACTGTGGCGGCCCCCATAATGTATTTTATAGGGGCTGTCCCACCTACAAATTTGAATCTGCGGTAGCAACTTTCAGATTCAAATTTGGACTCACACTGCGTGAAGCCAGACAGGAACCACGTCGACGTGGATTCTCTCTTACTCCTTACTCCAGTAATACTGCTCACTCTAACACTTCTCCTAAACCCACCCCTCCTACATCTAACCCCCCCCCCACACACACTTCTACCTCCTACCTTCCCCAGTCAAACTCTTTTGCCATCCTAAATCCAGAAACTCCAATCTCTACTACAGATACTCCAATCACCACTACAACCCCAACACCTTCCCCTCTCCCTCCTCGCACTCCCCGTAACAGACAGAACAAACGTTCCACCCCCTCTTCCCCTACCACACAATCACCTCCACCATCCTTTGCCCCTACTCTTGAGACACCAGTCCTCTCTTCCCCCCCTCACAAAAAATCCTTTATCCCCCACAACTCCCCAACCAACTCAGAAGAAACTATTGAAAATATTCAAGATTACTTAATGCAAACTGACACTCAACCTACAACCCCTGCTCCTTCCACACTCCAAGTAACTGCTGATATCCATCCTCCTCCTAACGATATCCCCCCTACACCCTATCCTCCTACCCCCTCCCAACACAGCCCTATCCCCCCCCGACCCCGACCCCAACCCCGCCCACATTAACCCTCCCACCATCCCCTCTATCCCTTCCACTCCCTCCTGGATACACACGTGAATCTCTTATGTCACAAGTATCCCCTTCCTCAGACCCTCCATCTTCTAATACCCCTCCTGATAGAACACCAACTCCCACATCTCTCCCATCTCAAACCTCTCAATCCTTATCCCACCCTCTAGCTGCTTCCCCCTCAAAGTCTCCAACACGTACTGCAATCTATATCACTAAATCAACGAAAGTATAACTATCCTTCATTGGAATATTCGCGGTTTCCGCTCCCACAGACCTGACCTTCGTCATATCCTTTCCTCTTATAACCCATCAATTGTATGCCTTCAAGAAACCTTTCTTACACATCCTCCAATACCAATCCCCAATTATCATTTTGTCTCTTCCCCACATTCCCTTTATGTCTCGTCCATACTTATCAATCAGAAAACACCAATGTCCCTTGCACAGTTATTCGTATCTTCCTTCATCGTTGGATCACAGTGATTTCAGTCTACTTCTCCCCTTCCCACCCCATTGACTTTGTTGCTTTTGAAAATCTAATTTCCCAACTTCAACCACCTTTCTTCATAGTGGGCGACTTTAACTGCCGCCACACTCTTTGGGGTGATTCTATTACCAACTCCCGAGGCCGATCTCTAGAGCGCTTCCTCTCCACAGCTGACCTTACTATTCTAAATTGAGATCGCCCCACACACTTTGATACACGCACGCAATCTTTTTCATGCATTGACCTCTCTCTATGCTCCCCTTCTCTTCATATAGATTTCCACTGGTCAGTCTTAGACCACTTTCCCTATAGTGACCACTTTCCAGAGTGGCAAACATCCCCCCATCCTCCATATTCGAGATACCCTCATTTCTGATCCTCTCCAAGTCGCTAATGAACTGGGTGATTATTTCAGCCAGGTCAGTAGTGGCTCTCACCTTTCTCCACACTTCTCTTCTATCAAGACCACCAGAGAACGTACCCCCATTACCTTCACCCCATCCTCCGCTGAGTCATATAATGCTCCATTTTCTTCCTCTGAACTCATTACTGCCCTACAATCGTGCCGCAACACTCATGAAGGCCCTGACGGTATTCACTACCTTATGCTCCGGCAACTCCCATCTTCCTCCTTATCCTTCCTATTAAAAATTTACAACCACATATGGACATCAGGAAATTTTCCTTCTAATTGGCGAGAAGCTCTTATCCTTCCCTTCCTGAAACCCAATAAATCGGGTACCCTCCCTCAAGACTATCGCCCCATCGCACTAACTAGCTGCTTGTGCAAACTATTAGAGCGAATGGTGAACTTCCGCTTAACCCATTCGCGCCGGGTAAAAATGAACAAAAAATGGGGAAAATGCTGTGCTCATTTTTTATATTTTTTAATGAAATTTCTCTACACTAGATGGCTCTGCTTTACCTGATTTCATTTGGCGGGAAACTGTATTTTTACTAGTGCTATGAATATCGATGGTTATTTTCATTATAAACTTTATAATTACTATAATGTTATAAACATTAGTAACAGCAAAATAAGATAACGCAAAATAATTTCGTAAATTAAAGAAAAGGGTAAACAGACGAGACAGGCAGTACAAGTGCAAGTGGAGCCATCTATGTTTGTAAGCAATTAAACAAGTAAACTCGCAGTGAGCCCGTCACGTATACGGGACACCCGGCGTGAATGGGTTAATGT